CTGGCACCATCTGGCACACTACAAGCGCATCACATTATTTTCTGCAAACACTCTAATTCAGAATCATGTAATTTTCATAATCGAATATTTCCCGATTTCCAAGTTCCAATGATTACAACATAATCAACAAAACTAAAAATAAGCTTGCCCTCTTTCCAAATGCAGTTAATTTTCTTATGTCATTCTGTTAAATATGGACCGATTTTTTCGATCTTTTCAGCTTTGTTATTCATTTATTGAATGGAAACAGGTGTTTTTATTCATGTGGCGATTCACAAATAACCACGGGAGTTTCCGTGTTATTTACATTGGTAGGTAGATAAGACAATCGATATCAAATCACGTGATAAGACCAGCTTCAGTTAAAAGAACAGGCGAAGGCGGCATCACAGATACCCCACAAAAGGAGTTATCACGTACTTGACAAACTGAGTCGGAACCTTTTATTTTCTTAAAGAAATCAGTGGGATGGGAATGTGCTAATTTTTCGTTGGAGTTCCTGTCAATATTATACTTCCATGGTTATATGTTGCTATTTATAGACACTTAAATATATATATATATATATATATTTATATAGCGGATGTGGTCGAGTGGTCTTAAGACTTAAGATACTGCTGTAGTGTATCAAAGGTGTGAGTTTATAGACCAGTTATTTCCTAATGTAAAATGAAGACAATATACAGATATCTACATGTACGAACAAACTAGTAAATGTCTCATGTCATATACCACAATAACAGAACTGGATACATGTATTAAGAAAGCCAATCTTTTGAACTTTACCAACCTATTACTATTTCTTGCATGACTTAAAGACCAACAACATTGTGACCTGAGCAAACTATACCAACTTATAAGTCCTATACTGTAGTATTAAATAAACTATTGCCAAGTTTGAACTGATGCTGCTTCTAAGAACATGTATACAAGATTCTATTCGTTTTTGCTGTCTCACGGATTTATACCAGCACCTCTCTCATACTTTGAATCTATATATGTTAACAACAATAGGATAAAAGAAACATTTTATTACGAACTAAGCATTCTAATCTAACAACATATATACATATTTACATAAACAAATTACAACTTGGAACAGCTGTTTGACACTTTAGAAATTAAAATTGAGTTATCCCCCTTTTCATATAAATATAAAAATTAAAACTTGGGGGATAAGATACAAAGGCTAATGTGTAGAATTTGTATCGAATTGGCATACCAAAGTATAATTTAACTGAATAAACATATGATTTAGTATTGTTACAATCTTTAACTTAAATTTTGAGTTATCTGGCACCATCTGGCACACTGCAAGCGCATCACATTATTTTCTGCAAACACTCTAATTCAGAATCATGTAATTTTCATAATCGAATATTTCCCGATTTCCAAGTTCCAATGATTACAACATAATCAACAAAACTAAAAATAAGCTTGCCCTCTTTCCAAATGCAGTTAATTTTCTTATGTCATTCTGTTAAATATGGACCGATTTTTTCGATCTTTTCAGCTTTGTTATTCATTTATTGAATGGAAACAGGTGTTTTTATTCATGTGGCGATTCACAAATAACCACGGGAGTTTCCGTGTTATTTACATTGGTAGGTAGATAAGACAATCGATATCAAATCACGTGATAAGACCAGCTTCAGTTAAAAGAACAGGCGAAGGCGGCATCACAGATACCCCACAAAAGGAGTTATCACGTACTTGACAAACTGAGTCGGAACCTTTTATTTTCTTAAAGAAATCAGTGGGATGGGAATGTGCTAATTTTTCGTTGGAGTTCCTGTCAATATTATACTTCCATGGTTATATGTTGCTATTTATAGACACTTAAATATATATATATATATATATTTATATAGCGGATGTGGTCGAGTGGTCTTAAGACTTAAGATACTGCTGTAGTGTATCAAAGGTGTGAGTTTCGAATCCTGCTGAGGGACAAAAAATTTCAGCATAAAAATCTAATTGGGAGTAATTTTCAGACTTTTATATATATATATATTATATGGCCTTCCAAATATCGTTTCGATCCCTAACATCACTGAAGAGACATTAATTGTCGAAATTCGGATATGGTGTATAAAAATATTTGCACCTCATGTTTGTGGTAAACCATCTTTTCCACAAGTTTATTGTTTTCTGTTTGGTATTAAATTAATATTAAGATCCATTTTGTACTGGTGATCAATTTATTTGGCAATCGCCAATGGCAGTCAGCAGGGTTTAAGAACATCCGTTGTTCGACCTGTTAGTCAAATGCGTTTTGTTAAAATATACTTTTTCACTATTTTGGTCTTTTGGAAAATGTTGTTTGTGCTGTATTTAGACCCCTCTACCTAGAAAATTGTTTTACACGCATTCGTATAAAAATTGCGGTTTTTATCCAACACAATCATAGGTTTGAACGTTGTTTTCAATTTAGACTTGTTTATATTTTTTTTCTGTTTGGGCTTGTATTACATTTTCCTTCGGGTTTATATGATCCGTTCATCCTATTTTGACTCTTTAAAATTCAAGAGTCTAACCTAAATTGAGGTAAATTATATGGCCTTCGAAATACCGTATCGATCCCTAACATCACTGAAGAGACATTAATTGTCGAAATCCGGATATGGTGTATAAAAATATTTGCACCTCATGTTTGTGGTAAACCATCTTTTCCACAAGTTTAATGTTTTCTGTTTGGTATTAAATTAATATTAAGATCCATTTTGTACTGGTGATTAATTTATTTGGCAATCGCCAATGGCAGTCAGCAGGGTTTAAGAACATCCGTTGTTCGACCTGTTAGTCAAATGCGTTTTGTTAAAATATACTTTTTCACTATTTTGGTCTTTTGGAAAATGTTGTTTGTGCTGTATTTAGACCCCTCTACCTAGAAAATTGTTTTACATGCACACGTATAAAAATTGCGGTTTTTATCCAACGCAATCATAGGTTTGAACGTTGTTTTCAATTTAGACTTGTTTATATTTTTCCGTTTGGGCTTGTATTACATTTTCCTTCGGGTTTATATGATCCGTTCATCCTATTTTGACTCTTTAAAATTCAAGAGTCTAACCTAAATTGAGGTAAATAAAGGCAACAGTAGTATACCGCTGTTGGAAACTCATAAATCGATAGAGATAAAAACAAATCCGGGTTACAAACTAAAACTGAGGGAAACGCATCAAATATAAGAGGAGAACAACGACACAACAAAAACACAACATTAAAATGTAACACACACAGAAACGAACTATAATATAACAATGGCCATTTTCCTGACTTGGTACAGGACATTTTAAGAAAAAAATGGTGGGTTGAACCTGGTTTTGTGGCATACCAAACCTCCCGCTTTTATGCCAAGGTCAAACACAACACCAAAACGACAACATCACATGACAGGACCACAATACAAATAAATGGGAGAACATATAGGACAAAGAAACACACGAATAATAGCTAGCAGAAGGTACTAGGCTTAAAATTCAAAACGCCAGACGTGCGTGTCGTCCACACAAGACTAACCAGTGACGCTCAGATAAAAAAAGTTTGAAAGCCAAAACAAGTACAAAGGTGAAGAGCACCAAGGACCAAAACTTCCAAAAAGTTGCGCCTAACACGGCCAGGATTTTCTGCATGGGACAAGAACATCCTTATTATTTAGAATAATTTATAATTTTGCAAACAGTAAATATTATAAAATGACTATATAATAGATATACATGATAAAACCAAAGTGGGGACTAACTACAGAATAAAAACGGATACATTACATAAAACAACTTAATCCAACATATAAAAATACACAGCCGAGTTAGCTAAAGCCTCAACGCACAAAGTGACGTCACATTTGAAATTCTAAAAAAACACACAAAGTGACGTCACATATGAATTTGTAAAAATATTTCCCAAAAATAAGATAGGATTAGGATTGATTCAAGATAAATTTGTAATACTGCCATTACATTTATTAATAACAATGAAAATTACAATACTTATTAATATCAAATTGTGGTAGTAATTAGATAATTAATTGTATTATCTAGCTATGTCGGTGTAAATTATATGGCCTTCCAAATACCGTTTCGATCCCTAACATCACTGAAGAGACATTAATTGTCGAAATCCGGATATGGTGTATAAAAATATTTGCACCTCATGTTTGTTGTAAACCATCTTTTCCACAAGTTTATTGTTTTCTGTTCTGTTTGGTATTAAATTAATATTAAGATCCATTTTGTACTGGTGATTAATTTATTTGGCAATCGCCAATGGCAGTCAGCAGGGTTTAAGAACATCCGTTGTTCGACCTGTTAGTCAAATGCGTTTTGTTAAAATATACTTTTTCACTATTTTGGTCTTTTGGAAAATGTTGTTTGTGCTGTATTTAGACCCCTCTACCTAGAAAATTGTTTTACATGCACACGTATAAAAATTGCGGTTTTTATCCAACGCAATCATAGGTTTGAACATTGTTTTCAATTTAGACTTGTTTATATATATATACAATTACTCTAAATATCAGCACAACAATGTGAAATCTGCAAATTTGCGGAAGCAAAGTTTTGTTCTTCCCTAGTCAGGATTTGAACTCATGCTATCGAGATATTGAGACAACACCGTCAGCACTATATCAGACGCTCTAAACCACTCAATTTTTGGTGGCCTAGTTTTACCTTTTCATGTCATTAGAATCTCCAGTTGTAACACAGTACATGATAAATTAGGCATGAAGATGGAATATATTGCAGATAAGCTAAATTATCTATCTTAAATTATCCTTCTGTGGACATTATTGCATAGATGGAGACAAAATTTCATGATATAAAATCATGCAATTTTGTCTTGGTGGACAATATTTCATAGGACAATATTGTGCTTTACATAGTTAACTCAATTTGATCTACACCATATTGCAAAATCATGTAATATCAATACAATATGAAACTGTATTAACTACAACTAAAGATATCAAAGAGAGAAAAAGTTGATAAATAAATAACCTGTCTTGGAGTTCACAGCTATCACCAATACCATTTTCATTGGTATCTGTCTGTGCACTGTTAGTGACATAGGGACAATTGTCACAAACATCCCCTACCAAGTCACCATCTGCATTAGCTTGATCTATAAACAAAATTGTTAACAATCATTCAAATATGTCACAACATTAATGATAAGCTAAAAAATCTATTATTCTTTCTAGAAAGCTATCAGAAGACCTTGAACTTAAGACTTCAATTATAATTCAGCTCTCCCTGAATGAAGATTGAATGATGTAAAAAGAGCAGGGCAATGAAAACACATGTGCTGCATTAAAATGTTTAACCTAGCTGCTATAGCTTTTAAGATAACAGTAAAAATTGCTTAATAACAGTATCAAGAGTGCACACGCTGAAATGTATCGCCTTCTTTACTAATCATTGATATTATATTAATAGTCCTAAACATAAAGCTTTACTACAACTTTCACAAAAACTTAAAATGATCTAAGAAAATGAGGTAAGGGTCAGATAAACCAAAAGAGAAATACATGTACACCTTACAATCATTCAATACACCAAATATAGTTGACCTATTCCTTATAGTTTCTAAGAAACAGATTTAATCAAGAAAACTAAACATTGACCAATGAACCATGAAAATGAGGTCAAGGTCAGATGAACCATGCCAGGCAGACATGTACACCTTACAATCAATCTAAGCATTAAATATAGTTGACATATTGCTTATATTATCTAAGAAACAAACTTAACCATGAAAACTTAACATTGACCAATGAACAACTAAAATGAGGTCAAGGTCAGATGATACCTGCCAGACAGACATATACAGCTTACAATCCTTCCATACAACAAATATAGTTGACCTATTGCCTAATTTTAAGAAAAACACACCAAAACCCAAAAATAAACACAGATATAATCTGTGAAAACAAGGTCAAGGTAAAATAAAACCTGCAAGACTGACATGTACATGTATCATAAAATATGTCCCTACATCAAATATAGTTGACCTATTGCATATAGTATTAAAAAAAAAGACCAAAACTCAAAAACTTAACTTTGACCACTGAACCATGAAAATGAGGTCAATGTCAGATGACACCTGTCAGTTGGACATGTTCACCTTACAATCATTCAATACACCAAATATAGTAGACCTATTGCATACAGTATAAGAAAAACAGACTAAAACACAAAAACTTAACTATAACCACTGAACCATGAAAATGAGGTCAAGGTCATATGACACTTGCCAGTTGGCCATGCACACCTTACAATCCTTAAATACACCAATATAAGACCTATTGCTTATAGTATCTGAGATATGGACTTGACCACCAAAACTTAACCTTGTTCACTGATCCATGAAATGAGGTTGAGGTCAAGTGAAAACTGTCTGACAGGCATAAGGACCTTGCAAGGTACGCACATACCAAATATAGTTATCCTATTACTCATAACAAGAGAGAGAAATTAACATTACAAAAAATTTTAACTTTTTTTTCAAGTGGTCACTATACAAACATTTATTCAAATAGAAAACCTTCTAAAAACACTTTTTCTCACAACAATACTTATTTATCAGAATTATAGCCTTAAGGAAATCACTGCATATACTCTAAGTTTCCTTTTACAGTACATTTTATACCCCTACCCCTATTTCAGTTTTTAAAAGAATTTGAAAACAAGACTTTAATCATTGCCAGCTTACCCTATGTGCATGTTTTCTGACATGAAATGTCTAAAACATGTTTGAAACTATTCTGATAACAAATTGAAAGCATTTTAGAATACTATAAATGTATTGTTTAGTAGTTAACCATTCCAACATTCAAGATTATACAAAGTATCCAATCCTGCCTGTGTCTCCAGTCCACATCTTACTGTATGCCTATTTGTCAATGAAAGTTCACAATTTATATCTCAAATGTTCAATTAAGAATTCTTGTCACAACAGTATCATCTCTAATCATATAACTAACATAAGTTAGTTAATGTATGAACTAGAAGTGTCTAAACAAAGCCATATTTGCAAAATTGTATTTAAGAAGATATCAGTCTGGTGCATAAATTCACTAAAAGTTTGATAGAAATGAGCTTACATCTTATTTTTGCATAACTTTCCAGCACAGTTATTGTTTTGTTTACAAAAGACCTTGAAAATAATAAAATCATAGCATTTACTAGTTAAATTATCTGTTTTATGACCCAGGGTAGGCATTTTTTTCTGTTTTTTGCCCCCTGGGGCCTCACATTTCCTAAATATTTTCCCTGTTTCTAGCAATGTGGAGTATTTAGTATATATTTAGGATAGAACATACTATTGTAAGTTTTATTGAGGTCTCTTTGTAATTCTAGCTTGTACTTCTTAATGCCGTGGTCACAAAAAAACACATTTAGGTGTTACGGCTTACTTTTGGGTTATCGACAGGACAAAAATAACATAACAAAATTATTTAGGAAGGATCAACGAGTTGCAATGACTGCCAAGAGTAAATATAAGCCCTTATAAACAATTTAAATCACAAATAGGCATATATTATGAATTTATTTTGAATTCAGGGCTTTAAGTAAACCATGCATACTGTAAACTGTGAATTTATGCTGAGTCATCATAGTTAAGGCTCAGAATTTTCTCAATCTTCATGAAATATTTATAAAACTTCATATTTGAGTTAAATTCTTTAAAATCTCTGAGATAAACCAGACTTTGTGAAATTCTGTATGTTCTATTTTTTAACCCTATATACAAACATTTATTCAAATAGAAAACCTTCTAAAAACACTTTTTCTCACAACAATACTTATTTATCAGAATTATAGCCTTAAGGAAATCACTGCATATACTCTAAGTTTCCTTTTACAGTACATTTTATACCCCTACCCCTATTTCAGTTTTTAAAAGAATTTGAAAACAAAACTTTAATCATTGCCAGCTTACCCTATGTGCATGTTTTCTGACATGAATTGTCTTAAACATGTTTGAAACTATTCTGATAACAAATTGAAAGCATTTTAGAATACTATAAATGTATTGTTTAGTAGTTAACCATTCCAACATTCAAGATTATACAAAGTATCCAATCCTGCCTGTGTCTCCAGTCCACATCTTACTGTATGCCTATTTGTCAATGAAAGTTCACAATTTATATCTCAAATGGTCAGTTAAGAATTCTTGTCACAACAGTATCATCTCTAACCATATAACTAACATAAGTTAGTTAATGTATGAACTAGAAGTGTCTAAACAAAGCCATATTTGCAAAATTGTATTTAAGAAGATATCAGTCTGGTGCATAAATTCACTAAAAGTTTGATAGAAATGACTGCTTACATCTTATTTTTGCATAACTTTCCAGCACAGTTATTGTTTTGTTTACAAAAGACCTTGAAAATAATAAAATCATAGCATTTACAAGTTAAATTATCTGTTTTATGACCCAGGGTAGGCATTATTTTCTGTTTTTTGCCCCCTGGGGCCTCACATTTCCTAAATATTTTCCCTGTTTCTAGCAATGTGGAGTATTTAGTATATATTTAGGATAGAACATACTATTGTTAGTTTTATTGAGGTCTCTTTGTAATTCTAGCTTGTACTTCTTAATGCCGTGGTCACAAAAAAACACATTTAGGTGTTACGGCTTACTTTTGGGTTATCGACAGCACAAAAATAACCTAACAAAATTATTTAGGAAGGATCAACGAGTTGAAATGACTGCGAAGAGTAAATATAAGCCCTTCTAAACAATTTAAATCACAAATAGGCATATATTGTGAATTTATTTTGAATTCAGGGCTTTAAGTAAACCATGCATACTGTAAACTGTGAATTTATGCTGAGTCATCATAGTTAAGGCTCAGGATTTTCTCAATCTTCATGAAATATTTATAAAACTTCATATTTGAGTTAAATTCTTTAAAATCTCTGAGATAAACCAGATTTTGTGAAATTCTGTATGTTCTATTTTTTAACCCTATATAGGTTGCAATTCTGTAAATATAGACAATGCAATTTCCCATAGGAACTCCCTTTGCAGCTAAAACTGTGACACTTTTACTATGAAGTTTCGTGAAAAATAATATCCCAGAACGGAAAGTTTATATGCACTACTATTTTATTCAAAGGTCAAAATATAGGGCTGTGCGGCATATTTTCAACATTTATATGCCCTGAACTTCTAAGAGTTTAAACTTATACTAAAATTCTTTACTACCCTTACCTTCATATTTGGACCTCCTTAGAATTAAAATTTAGGCGCTACCATGTTTTTCTATACTGGTTACATTCCCAAGTGATGTCTCTATGAGATGAAACACAGAGATCATAAATGGGAACCAGTACATTAACAAATTAACATATCTATGAATATTATATATCTCCCCAAAAGAGGCGTGGTTTGAGAAACAGCTGTATTTACAAAGTGCAACCTATACAAACATTTATTCAAATAGAAAACCTTCTAAAAACACTTTTTCTCACAACAATACTTATTTATCAGAATTATAGCCTTAAGGAAATCACTGCATATACTCTAAGTTTCCTTTTACAGTACATTTTATACCCCTACCCCTATTTCAGTTTTTAAAAGAATTTGAAAACAAGACTTTAATCATTGCCAGCTTACCCTATGTGCATGTTTTCTGACATGAAATGTCTAAAACATGTTTGAAACTATTCTGATAACAAATTGAAAGCATTTTAGAATACTATAAATGTATTGTTTAGTAGTTAATCATTCCAACATTCAAGATTATACAAAGTATCCAATCCTGCATGTGTCTCCAGTCCACATCTTTAATACTGTATGCCTATTTGTCAATGAAAGTTCACAATTTATATCTCAAATGGTCAATTAAAAATTCTTGTCACAACAGTATCATCTCTAATCATATAACTAACATAAGTTAGTTAATGTATGAACTAGAAGTGTCTAAACAAAGCCATATTTGCAAAATTGTATTTAAGAAGATATCAGTCTGGTGCATAAATTCACTAAAAGTTTGATAGAAATGAGCTTACATCTTATTTTTGCATAACTTTCCAGCACAGTTATTGTTTTGTTTACAAAAGACCTTGAAAATAATAAAATCATAGCATTTACAAGTTAAATTATCTGTTTT